GCCACCTTGCCACCCAAACAGTGTTCCCATGGCAGCAAATATCACAACTTTAAAATATCAAGACATTAAAACAGCATTTAAAATACAAGGGTATAGGAAACATTTAAACATTTCAACGAAAGATATAAATACACACAACAACAGAGCCAGATAGGAGGGCCAGTATCAAAAGAGGGGGTACAAAACGAAAAAGCCTTCACCGGCTGGCAGAAGGCGACAACAGGAGGAGACAGATGATTCTTCCTGGGGAAGAAGTTCCCAAGTTTCAGTGCCATGCCCAAGTTTCAGTGCCATGGCCAAGAAGGCCCTTCCTCAGGCTGCTGCCTGCCTAGCCTCAGATGGTGGGGGGCACCTGAAACAGGGCCTCTGGAGATGACTGGAGTGGTTGGGTAGGTTCATGTATGAGTAGATGGTCCTTACGGTATACTGGCCTTAAGTCACATAGGGTTTTGATGGTCAACAGTAGCATCTTGAATTGGACCCGGAAGCAAACTGGGAGCCAGTACAGGTGGTCTCTATAGGAAGGGTATATTTAAACCTTGCATGTGCAGTTCTGTTTCTTTAAAGGCATAATGTTTTACTTAAGAAACACAGTTACAATAGACCAGGATATTTGCAGAAGTAGTCTGTTAAGAGAAACCAACAAAACAAAAGACAACTGCTCTATATGGATATCTTGAGAGGAAAAGAAGAAACAGTGAGATTCAAACTAGCTGTTTATTTCATGGGAAAGGGGCTGATATACCCCTGGTCCTGGGCAGAAGGAGATATGATGGTGGGATAAAGATGGAGCCTTGGCTGCTTGTCATCCAGTCTTCCTTCAGGTCTGCTCCCAGCCGACAGAGACCTGGTTGCGCTGTGGCTGGTTCCCTTGGCTTTAAGATCCTGCTGCTGAATGCCAGGTACCTAAAGAGAAAAATAACTGCCATTCAGGATTTAATTCTGGATGAGCAGGCTGAACTGGTATGTAGTGCAGTGACCTGGCTGGATGAGGCTGGGGGTGTAAATCTGACTCAGCTCTGTCCTACAGGTTTCTCTGTACAGCAGCAGGTTAGGCCAGGGGGACAGGGAGGTGGGCCACAGTGGTCTATCCTGATTGTATCCATCTATCAAAGTGCCTCTTGCAGGAGTCTGCCAGTTTTGAGTGAGTGCTCCTGAAGGTGGCTGAGCAGGACAAAGAGTTGCCAGGTCTCACCTTTCCTGCAGCTGGGGGCCCCACCCCTGAATAGCAGCATCCCACGGGGATGCTGCCGACACAATGAAGTCACCAGTAGTGACATCATGCTGGGGCTGGCACGCAGTGATGCTCTAGTGTTTGCAACAAAAACTCTATGGTAACCACAGAGTTCCCCCGAATGCTAGAGAGTTGCCATGCAATGGCCACAGCGTGATGATGTCATTACCGATAATGTCATTGTATTGGCAGCGTCCCCATGGGACGCTGCTGTTTGGGGGTGGCCAGTTGTGGCAGATTGGGCCCCTCAAAATTGGGGGATCCCTTGGCCCCACTGGGGAAATGGCAACCCTAGATTCTGCCAACGTACTGTCTATCCTATTAACCTGATGCCTCTTTTTCTGAGCTAGCTGATCGGTTCATGGGCACGCTAGTAGATCTCCCAACATCTATGCTGAGACCAAGTTGTCAAGAGTAGCTCAGGATTTCATGGTCTCCATGTCAACCATGGGCCTATCCCAAGTAATTATTGGCTCCACACATTTAGCAGGGCACACACTGGACTTTGTTTATTATACAGTTAGGGAGGATGATCTGGAGGTGGGGGAGTTAAGGCTTACTCCTTTGTCTTGGACAGCTCATTACCTGACAGAGATCAGACTTACTGCTTCCTCTTCTCTCCACAGGGGTGATGGGCCCATTACAATTTTCAGCCCCAGGCACCTGATGTATCTGCTCCCAGCCAATAGAAACCTGGTTGTGCTGAGGTTGGTTCCCTTGGCCTTAAGATCCTGCTGCTGAATGCCAGGTCACTAAGCAGAAAAACAACTGCCATTCAGGATTTAATCCTAAAGGGGCTAACTAACCTGGAATGTATTACAGAGACCTGGTTGGATGAAGCTGGGGCTGTAAATCTGACTCACCTCTGCCCTCCAGGTTTCTCTGTAAAGCAACAAGCTAGACCAGGGGGATGGGGAGGTGAAGTTGCAGTAGTCAGCATTCTGTCCATATATCAAGATGACTCATCCAACAGTCTACCAGTTCTTACTCTGTGCTCCTGAAGGTGGATAAGAACATAAGAGATGCCAATGTTCCAGTGGCCAAAAATACCAGGTGCCATCAGGAGGTCCACCAGTGGGGCCAGGACATTAGAACCCCTTCCACTGTTGACCCCCCCCCCCAAGCACCAAGAAGACAGAGCATCACTTGCCCCAGTACCCCTATCTATACCTTGTGGCTGATGGACCTCTGCTCCATATGCTTATCTAATTCCCTTTTGAAGCCATCCATGCTTGTAGCTGCCATCATTACCTGATAGTGATGACCACTACAAGGTAGGGATTATGTTGGTGTTAGACAATGGAGATTCTTGACTTACCTTTTTCAAGATTACATGATGATACATAAAGGCTTTTTTGCTTCCAGTGAAATAACAATGCCTTATAAATTCCACACATACCGACTTGCAGTTATGAATAGTGTTTCAGGTGATGTTGTTCTGAATTCCTAAAAGACCGCCCACATCACAAAACAAAGAGTTAATATTTGGCACTTTCATTTTCCCATGGTACCTGAAATTCCTTTGCAGTAAAACTGCAAAGGAATTTCAGAAACAGACTGGAACAGGAGATTGCTGAATTTTAAGTTATTACAACACTCAGGACAATGGAATCCCCAGGGTTTAACAGAGATATCAGGTTCTTATCTGACTATACGTGCTAAGTCACTCAGTTCTCACTTATACCCAGAACTAAACTTTGTTGGTCTTAAAGATGCTGCTGGACTCAAACTCAGTTCCCACATCTGTTGTTAATTCCTTTATTATCTGTATGCCAATCTGCTGCTGTTCACATGTCATACTAAATATGTTATTCCAATCTTAGCTATATTTATTGTTCAGTTACTTATGCATCCTGACTCTAATTAGCCCTTCCTGGCAACATATAGCCCTACCTATATGTAACAGTTGAGGAAATCTGTTTCAATGTATCTGAAGGAGTGTGCATCTACACATGCCAAGTCTCTCAGTTCTCGCTTATATCCAGAACTGAACATTGTTATCTTGGAGGTGCCACTGGACTCAAACTTCGTTCTTGCATCTGTTTGTCAACGCTTTATATGCTAATTTACTGCCATTCACAGATCTTACCAACCGCCTTAATCCAATCTCAGCTATACTTATTGCCCAGTTACTTATGCATCTTGACTCTAATGATCCCTTCCTGGCAACTAACCCCCCCAACCTATATGTAATGCTTGAGAAAATCTGTTTCAATGTATCTGAGGAAGTGTGCATCTACACATGCCAAGTCTCTCAGTTCTCACTTATACCCAGAATTGAACTTTGTTGGTCTTGGAAGTACCACTGGACTCAAACTTATCTGTTTGTTAACTCTTGTATTTGTTTGCTAATTTGCTGCCATTCACAGGTATTAAAAACTGCTTTAATCCATTCTCAGCTATACTTATCACCCAGTTACTTATGCATCTTGACTTTAGTCTTTCCTTGCAAAAAACCCCCACGCACCCTCTCTACCTATATGTAAGGCTTGAGAAAACCTGTTTCAATATATATGATGAAGCGTTCATTTTTCTGAAGACTCCTGTCTTGTATGTGGTTGGTTTAATTTTTAGGTGTAGTCATTGCAGAAGAGCCAGCCAGTTTTCTATTAATAGAGTGACAAGACTCACTGATAGCACTGGACTTACAGGAAGTGTACAGCCTATTACCCAGAGCAATCATTGGAGAAAGAAAGTTGGAATGGTTGGAGAGCCCTAACCTGAAACGTACAATACAGGGATAGGTTTAAATCCTCTCTACTCTGTATCATCAGCATCAAATAACAAAACTATAGAGCAGGGGAGAGTTCAGAGTTGCCTGTGCAGCAATATTCTGTGTGTGTGTGTGTGTTCTGAGGCTGGCTGTGTATCAGCTCCAGCCTCGTTTGTGCAGTAGAAAAGTAGGATGTAATCCCCTCTATTTTGGTTACATTATGAGAGTTGCTTTCTTCTTGGTGAAGAATGGGGGAGGAAATTGTTCCTGCTTTGATAAAATTGTTTTTAATCTTCTTTTCCTAAGGGAAATTTGTGCACATTCACAGCACTTGCCAGGAAGGCCTGTTTATTTTAAAAACAAGAAATAATTTTCTGCATACCTGAAGAGTCACCTAAATATCCAGAAATGTCACCAGTCTTTCTTCTTCTTTTCACTGTCCTGCTCATCAGCACAGGGCTGCTACATTTGCTATTAGAGGGAACACTATTGATTAATTACATTGATATCCACCTATCCTCCATCATGGAACTCAATGCAGTCAGCCTCTGAACAGTTCAGCTTCAACAATGATGCTGTACCATACACCTTCCTTCCAACAATATTCAGAGAATACTGAGCTCTCTGGCTAGTGTCAAGCTGAATTGTGAAGATTCACTGGGTATACTGTAACTTTTTTGAGGGTCTAAGAACATATTTATTTCGTTGTTACGAAAAAGTGTTGCTCTCTCACATTAACTTCCTTTCATTCAGTCACTAGTTTTTACGGACTAAAAATCCTAGCTAAGATTCCAGAAGAATACTGTAAAATCATCATTCTTTTGCTTGAGCTGTACAGACTAGGTAATGAGACAGTTCACTGAATATTCTTAGCAGCATATAATACAATTTCATTTTATTTTAAACATACTTTGCATGATATAAAAATATTGATCACAGTGAGATTTAACAATTGTTACTGCTATAAACAGGAATGCAGAACAATATTTTTATGGAAATAAATTATATAGTCATTATCTTTAAAAAAAATCACAAGGAAGAATGATGGTCATTGGCAAAAATCAAGTCCTTAGTGAATTCTTTATATGAAGAAAGTCCATTTTTCCTACGTTTGCTTTTTGTGGATCTCAGGAAGAGCACAAATAAGTCTGTCTCCTATAAGCCCATTCTGGTGCACAGGAAGTTCAAAATGTTAGAAGTCTTTTTTTTAAAAAAAGGAAAAATGTACACCAGAATATCATATGATGGTTTCTTCACTAATTGATAAGTGGCCTTTTCCAATATATGGGGACACAGCGACATACTTCTTCACTGTAATAAAATCCAGACTCACAGCGTTTTGTTCGGACTGTACATGGTGGTCTGTAGCAACTGAAAAAGATGGCAAAAGAAGAATGAGAAAAGCTACAGACATTACTTGAGCACTTACATTAGCTTGGCAGTGAAAGCACCACAGGATCTACTTTGTACACATGGAAAAAGATGACAAACCTGCTCAAGAATGCTTTGCAAGAGCTCTATAAAGTAGAATGGATTCTGAAACTGGACACAGTGGATGTAATAAGAGTAGGTCTGAAATTCTTTTAGTATTCTCACACCATCCTACCTTTCACAGGGCTATTTTAAAACACCTCTGTTATGTGAATGTATATTAAAATCGCGAGATGGGACTATGGTACTCTAGTGGGGGATGCTTCTTTAAAAGAATGAAGGCAGAACATAATGTGAAAAAAGTGAGCAGTTTTACAAACTTTGCTTTACTGACTTGCATCATTTCACAACTGCATATGTCAGCAGGACACCGAAGATGACTTTGTAGCACCCAACTATCTGACTGCATTTCCATTATTATTATCATGGAGATTTTCCATTAACAGCCTGCACTGTATTTCATAATTGCAGCAAGACAGATATAAGACCAAACACATGTTGAATCTTGCAGACAGGGCACCACAGGGAGTCTATAATGCTGTTAATGGCAGAAAGATACTATGAGACTGCTTTTAGAAAATTGTGCAGAAAAATCATTATATACCTGGTCCTTATGGTCCTTCATGTGTGCAGTGGTGGTATGTGGGGGGGGGGGGACAGACTGAGCAGACAATTTAATTGAAGTGAATAATTCCAACAAATCACCAACATAACTGAGAAAGATGTGCACCTCCAATAAATCACCATCCATTATTAATCGAGTGCATATTACAGGCAACAGTCCATAAATACTTAACTTACCCACAGTAACATTACAGCATGTATTTCTTTGCTATTGTGTTTCTACTTACACAGTCTGCTAGTATGAAGTTGTGTGTGTGTGTGTATACATATATATATAATCCTACAATGCAGAATAATTTTATTTTTTAAAGTTTTCCAATAATTTTCTCTTGAAAAAATCTCAGTTTCGTATTATGGCCCTGAGCCTGTACTAAATACACACATATTTTTGCTCATGCACTGTTTCTATGACATCAGTGAGAGCAATGTGCATGTTTAGAGTTGAATGGGTGTGCACTTTCAGAGCTTATATGCATGACAACTTGAAAAGGATGAAAAGAAAACAGTAATTTATAGCACATCAGTCAGGAAAGTAATCAAATATTTCATTAGCCAGCATGCTTACAATATAAATATTTTGCATTAGTGGATAGTTTGTTTCTACAAGGATTGCAGAACAACAGCAATAAACAAATACGTCATACCCTGATAATTTCTTGTGGCTGTTTTTGAAACAGGGTGACCTCACATAACCTCTCAGTAACAATGCCAAATAGCCTCTGGTGTGTAACGTAGACAAAGTAAAACTCTTTGCCTTTTTCAAGCGCTGGCAGTGAATCAAGAGCAAAAAAAACATTTCAAGTTTCAACACAGTAATATTTTAAATTTCTATTTAAATTTGTCTTCCTGTTTTTATAAAACATAGTATCATGATGATGCTCTAGTGACATCCCTCCCCATCCGTTTACAAACTCATTTCAAGTGTGAACATGAAAAAAATGGGTTGGTTTTTTTTGGGGGGGGGTGGAGAGAGAGAGACAGAGAGAGAGCCTGGGTAAAAAGGAGGATTTCCAGTGTTCTTTTCTCTCTCCCCCTTCTTTCAACCTCCATCTTAATTGTACTGAGAGGCAACAGAAGACTATCTCTTCTCTATGGATCTTTCTATCTTGCAGTGAAGTTGGAAGGATGGGGGTGGGTACTGATGCACATCCTGAGGGTATCCACTTGCTTCTGTTCAGCCTAATTCCCAGCTCAGTCAACTGAGGCCCTGAGCCTGCTCAATGCTCGCTTCTGCCAATGTCTAAAGGTAGATGGAAGGCAGGATGAATGTGCAGTTCTTGACCCTCATTATCTTGGGGGGAACATATTTTTGTTTTTTTATTAAACATTAATTATATGGTGGCTCACTTGTGGCTTGTCCAGTCTTTAGTTTCTTGCCCAGCATATCTGTGCACAGGACACTCACTTGACTAATATAGGGAGCGATATGGTCATAACTAAGGTAAGTTTCAGTATCTCCATCCTGGACCACTTTTCCTCCTGTTAGTTTAATTGAAGATGAAAACGGGTTTAGAGCCACTCATGTTACAAAATTCCTGCATGAAAATTCCTGTATGTAAATCACTGAATTACATGTTCTGGGATGCCTAGTTTTCTTCAGGTGCACAATATGTGTACACAGCAAGCTACACATGTGCAGGACTGTCTCCTCCGTGTGCATTACTACTCTGATAGTGCAATCCTAAGCATGTCTGCTCAGAATCCTACTCAGGTCTATTCAATGGGATGAACTTTCAGGAAAGAGTTCTCAGGGTTGCACTAAGTATCCCATACCTGACCTGGATAGCCCAGGCTAGCCTGATCTCGTCAGATCTTGGACACTAAGCAGGGTGGGCCCTGGCTAGTGACTGGATGTGAGACCACCAAGGAATACCAGGGTTGTGACGTGGAGGCAGGCAATGGCAAACCACCTTTGAATGTCTCTTGCTTTAAAAACCCCATGGGGTCACCATACGTTAGCTGTGACTTGACAGCACTTTCCAACACCAAGTTTTCCACAGAAGTCTAACAGCTCTTCAGCTAATATTTCTTGCAATTTTGTAATATTGAAGTTACAGATTTACAGATTTGCAACTCTTGGACTGCATACAGTTCAACAACTCTGCCACGTAGAATTTTATAAATCCAGACGAAACTGTTCATTGGGCCAAAACGATGGAAAGGAATCACAGCCTGGAATGGGAGCAAGAGTGCAATGATACTCTACCTATGAAGACTGAGCCTGCCTTGGTATATGTTGGCTCATTTCAGAATTTTTGCTCCTTGCAATTACACAATAAAACAAGGTTTATCTGGGATGGGCAGAAACACAGCTTGGTGCCATGATCATGTGTTAATTTCACTTGAGATCTGGGAACCAAGTGCAAATGTGGTCTCAATGCGGATGCATGGACAAAAAAAAAGTTGCTCCCAAGGTTTAGAAACCGGCATGGGTGGTGGGTGGGAAATGAATGCCATTTTGCCAGTCATCTGCATTTGGACATCATGCCATAGGACTGACCCAAGCCCAGAAAGCTTCAACAGTGCTCTCTCTGTGATAAGGGGAGAAGCAAGGCAGTTTCCCAAGAATGGCAGCAAGTATGCCTGTCATGGACAAACCTTTGTTTGCTGTAACGCTGGCATGCAGTCACTGTGTCTGTTATACCAAATGGCTTGATAAATTAAGGGAGCTGTTTGGTAAAGGGCATCTTCAGGAAGGACTGATAAGAAAAGTGTGGATGCAAGCATCACTCCTTGAGAAAGTATCAGAAAGAAATGACCTGCCAAGGTACAGGGTTGTTTGTTTATTTGCATCCTTCAGGACCACCAGACACACATTTACAATGAGTTTGTCTGATGAGGTGAAGGGCACTACCTACTTTTGTAAGGGACAGGTCACACTTCGATAATGTTTGTACACAGAAGATATCATGCTGTTTTCCCCAGCAGAGATCTGCATTCAGTGAAGTCATGTGGAGTATCCCAAGATTTCCCTCTATTGTACTTCCTATAGCAGAAAAAGGCCATAATCTGGGGAAGGGAACAACATACCATGCACATATAAACAAACAGTGTGGGGTACTGCTCCAGAAAAGGGCCAAGGGTGAAGAGTCTTTCACTGTGGCTGTTCTTTTGCAATAAACAAACCAGGAGTTTAAAACATTAAGGATTTAAAGGGCTTTTCTTAAATAGAAATTTCTAATGCCTGCAACTGAAAATAGTGACAGATAATATAATAAATAAGATGGACTTGACAGTTATTATTAGTATGTGGTTTCCCAGGGCTGCTGGTGATGGGAAATGCAGGGTGTGACATAACGCACACAGGGGGGGAAAGGGTTTTGATTTGGGGATTATATTCTGCAAAAACAAAATTAGCAATACATATTTGCAGCAGGATTGTGGTAACATTACAGCCCAGTCTTTCAACAAATGCACGCGTCTGTGAAGAAAACAGCGTACAATGGGGAAGATGCTGGAATTTACAATCCTTATGGGCCAGCCTGCTAAGTCTTGTGTAAAGTTCTCTGTATGACTTGTCAACTAGCTCATCACAACCGTATGTTTTGTACAGTCCTGAGTCTCAAGTTACATCATGCCTGTTAGAACTTTAACACAAAACTGTCTGGCACAGACATCATCCTGGAGTATACATTAAAGTCTAGGCTGAGAGGAAAAAAATAATCCATGATGGATTAATTGCTCAGTGATGAATATTTGTCCTGCAGTTTCTTCCTATGAAATACCTCCATAGCATTTAATATAATAATTCTTTTTGTAACAGGGTTAACATACTACCTCCATCTGAGCTTCAGACAAATTGGTTATTATAATAATTATTATTGGGTATTATCATTATTATTTTATTAGGCTACTTTACATATTTTTCAGTGGCAGCTCCACAATTCTGGAACAACCTCCTCAGGGAGGAGCGCCTGCCCTCTCATTCTTAGCCTTACTGAGGCAGCTGAGGACAGTTTTATTCCCAACAGCACTTGATTGCTTGATTAGTTCTTCTGCCTACTGGCAGTTTTAACTATTTAACTTGTGTTTTTTTTAATGTATTTTATTGTGTTTGTTATTATTTACATTGTAAACTGATATAAGTTTCTATAAGGTAGAAAGGCAGTTTTAGATAAGTAAAGAAATGTTTGTTACTTCATGACTGCAGCACAGATGTGTGAATTAATCTATGTGTGAATGAATCAACAGAGTCTCTGCTCTAGTTCCTCACAGAGGCTTATCCAAGAGAAAAACTTTATTGTGGTGGCAACTTAGCTGTGCAAAGCCCTCCCTACAAAGTTTTAAGGTTTTAGTTGCCACACAAAAAAGGTTCCATGCCTTTAATTTCAGTACCCCCATTTCCTATGTGTGTGTAAATTAAGGTTGTCAGCTCCAGGCTGGGAATTATCTGGAGATCTGGGGGTGGCGCTTGGAGTGCCATAGAGTATAATGCCATAATGCCACAGAGTACAATCTCATAAATCCAAAGTTGCCATTTTCTCCAGGAGAACTGATCTCTATTGCCTGGAGAATAGTTCTAATCCCAAGAGATCTCAAGACTGCCTGGAGGTTGGCAGCTCACGTTTAAAAGTCTACTGCCTAGTGCTGAACTATTTTCACCATGTCTCCCTTTTTGTTATTTTATTATTTCTGTTTCAGATTCATACCCTGAATTGGATTTTAATGTTTTATTGCCATTTTTGTTTTTAAAATTTACTTTTTGTAAACTGCTTCAAGCATTGTTCAGGGAATGCTGCAAACAAAATGTCTTTAAATAAATAAACAACAAAAATCAAATACCTCATGGAATTTTCCAGTCTCCTCAGATTACCTTGAACACATTGCTTTTCAACTGTGAGGAGTGGGTCCACTAGATTAATTGCTCAGCGATGAATATTTCTCCTGCAGTTTCTTCCTATGAAATACGTCCATAGCATTTAATATAATAATTCTTTTTGTAACAGGGTTAACATACTACCTCCATCTGAGCTTCAGACAAACTGGTTATTATAATAATTGTTATTGGGGATTATCATTATTATTTTATTCGGCTACTTTACATATTTTTCAGTGGCAGCTCCACAATTCTGGAACCTCCTCCTCAGGGAGGAGCGCCTGCCCTCTCATTCTTAGCCTTACTGAGGCAGCTGAGGACAGTTTTATTCCCAACAGCACTTGATTGCTTGATTAGTTCTTCTCCCTACTGGCAGTTTTAACTATTTAACTTGTGTTTGTTATTATTTACATTGTAAACTGATATAAGTTTCTATAAGGTAGAAAGGCAGTTTTAGATAAGTAAAGAAATGTTTGTTACTTCATGACTGCAGCACAGATGTGTGAATTAATCTATGTGTGAATGAATCAACAGAGTCTCTGCTCTAGTTCCTCACAGAGGCTTATCCAAGAGAAAAACTTTATTGTGGTGGCAACTTAGCTGTGCAAAGCCCTCCCTACAAAGTTTTAAGGTTTTAGTTGCCACACAAAAAAGGTTCCATGCCTTTAATTTCAGTACCCCCATTTCCTATGTGTGTGTAAATTAAGGTTGTCAGCTCCAGGCTGGGAATTATCTGGAGATCTGGGGGTGGCGCTTGGAGTGCCATAGAGTATAATGCCATAATGCCACAGAGTACAATCTCATAAATCCAAAGTTGCCATTTTCTCCAGGAGAACTGATCTCTATTGCCTGGAGAATAGTTCTAATCCCAAGAGATCTCAAGACCCTGCCTGGAGGTTGGCAGCCCAGGTTTAAAAGTCTACTGACTAGTGCGGAACTATTTTCACCATGTCTCCCTTTTTGTCATTTTATTATTTCTGTTTCAGATTCATACCCTGAATTGGATTTTAATGTTTTATTGCCATTTTTGTTTTTAAAATTTACTTTTTGTAAGTTGCTTCAAGCATTGTTTAGGGAATGCTGCAAACAAAATGTGTTAAATAAATAAACAACAAAAATCAACTACCTTGTGGAATTTTCCAGTCTCCTCAGATTACCTTGAACACATTGCTTTTCAACTGTGAGGGGTGGGTCCACTAGTTGAGTACAATGTAATATTCAATTTAAAGCTCTGGGGGATTATGGGGTGACCTTCCATCCCCTTGGTCCAAGTCTCTCCAAGGTCAGTGCAATGGGAACACTGCAGGAAAGTCTTGGAATCAAGATAGGAAATAAGTAGTTTTGCTACTGAGAATATTCGATCGGAAATGAAACTTGCAAGAGAGTGGACAGCAGAACAAATCATATTAAATAAGAAGAACCATTGTGCGAGGTAAGTTTAGGAAGTTATTGTTGATTTGTTTTCCTGGTTTCAAGATTTATTTTGAGCTATGAATTGTATAACAATAAGGTCAGAAATTTCCTGACCGCACACAGCAGTACATATGTTCATTCACACAGCAGTTTACCATATAAGAAGTAAATAACCCTCCTGTCCTATGCCAAGTCATAACCCTGCACTGGCACACTACTGGTTTGCTGTACATGTTGCAATGTACGTTCACTGCAGAGTGAGATTCTGCATTGGTACTTCATTGATTCTCTCTTGGCTCTCTTTCATTCATATAATTTTTGCCACCATAACTGCCCAATTTTGGTTAACCCAGTTTTAAAAATGCACAGTAATGACTTCATGAGCTGCCAACTCTGTTGCTTCAATTGACTCCATGTGGTCTCAGCATGTAAAAAATCAAGCCTTAAGTTTTGTCATGCTAGTTGAAGCCTATTTTTGAATACAATTTTATAAATGTTTATTGTTGTCTTTATATGTGTGTTTGTGTCAGTCGTTGTGGCAGGAGCTCAACAGTTCCTTCAGTTCCATAAGCCATTAAGGAAAACTATTCTTGTACTAAAAAGTGTTTTTATTATTTACTTACCTGCATGTTTGCTGATGAAATCTTTTTCCTTTCAAGAAGCATCTGTTTGGAGATTCTACACACTCACAGATACACTTTGCAGGATTTAGCGGTTGATGCTTAGGGCATGTTTTTTTACATACACAGTGGCATCTTTCTTCATCAAAATCTTTGTTGGGTCCACATGAGCTGGGCAGCAGCTTATTTTTACATGTGCACTCGCAGGATGTTCTGTCTAATTCTTTGTGGGCTCCACAGCTGGAAGGTCTCACTCCCCCTTTGCAGACACACTGACACGTTTCTTCATCAAGCTCCTTATTAGGTCCGCAGATATCATGGAATCCTTCAGTAGAGTCTATGAGCACAGCAAGCATTGGGAGAAATGAATTCTGCTCCAGTCATTGCATGTCTGCTAATTTCACATTTTTGAGCCACTGAGTTTAAATCAATGTTCAAATCAATGAATTAATAATCCCATAGCACAGACAGGATGAACATAGGTAAACTGTGTCATGGACCATAAAAACCAGGTTACAAAGGATTAAAGAAGTCTTAATTTTAGTACCTTTGTTACAATGTGTTTAATTTTTGTTTTACTTGTATAAACCCAAATAAATGCATGTAATCCTCTAAATCACATTTGCTTACCCGTATCCCCAAGGTGGGAAGAGAAACTGAAGTCATGTTGTGCCAGACATCTGCACATGTGGTTATTCCAGATATAGCTTTTTGGACAAGTTTTGTTTGCCACATGACACCTAGGGATAAAACATACCATTGATTTATTACAAGGAAAATGCAAGACAAGTGCTTCTGTGCATGGGGCCACAAATGTTTCAGCAGAGAATACCAGTTTAAAAATCACTGATTTCATACACATTTTATACCATTGTTGAAAACTGTGTTTTCCAAGTGTGGACAAAACAGCTATAAACTTACTAGGCTATAAGATCCAGTTTAATCTAAACCAGAATATATAATACTGCAAAGTCTGTGATTTATGCATTCCATAATGAAAATGCCATTCTCTGCTTTACTAAAAAAATTCCAATATAAAATAAAACAATATCCAAGCTTTTACAGCTACTCTGTAAAGTACAGAAGTATAAAAAGTAAGAACTTCGAAAGGATAATGCTGGGAATGGTTAACATTAGCATTAGCTATTTAACATTTGATGCTACTTCAGTTCTTCATCCAAACAAACTAATTTCTAACTTTCTAATGATTTCTCTTGCGTTTTGGAAACCTTCCTTCACATTCCAGTGCTACCCTCAGTGAACATAATCTTTTTTTACATCCTGTTATTTTTAAGAAAATGAAACTTTTAGAAGTTGGTTCTGAATAGAAATAGATTATTCAGTACAATGGTAATGTTTCAATATGCTGTATGTACACAGAAGAACTCTTCTGTCTACCTCTCCTAATTACATAAGGTACAATATTTGCATTTTTTTTCTCTGATTGAGGATGCTGAGAAAACAAATATTGTAACAACGCAGAAAAATATATGTTATTCTTACAGACCATTCTTACCATTCTTGGATGTGGAGCTGATGGACATAAAGATGATGCCATGATCAGACCACTTTGCTCTGAAGGTCTGGTTGAGCACCCCAACCCCTCCCCTGTTTAAGCGGCAAACTACTTTATGCTTGCTGTGGAGACTAGTTGATCCAAGTGGTTTCCAGAATGCTCTGCAGGATCTGATGTCCCCTGGTGATTCGTGGGATGAGCTGGTGAAGGACTGGCATAGCCGTCTCTCAGAAGTCATCAACAAAATCGCTCCCTGGCACCCTCTTTGCCCCTGCACCAAACAGGGTCTTGTTTTCAGCCCTGGCCCCGACCTGGTGGAACATACTCCCAACTGAGATCAGGCCCCTGTGGGATTTACTGCAATTTCAAAGGGCCTGCAAAAAAGAGGTGTTCCACCAGGCCTTTGGTTGAGGCAGCAGACGTCAAAGGCCTCTCCTGCCTCAATTTTCTCAGCTGCCTCAGTTACTCCATGGCACTATTTATATTTATTGGCACCAGGAGTGGTTGAGCTATTCCATCAGAATGATACACTGCTTATCCCTGAAATGTAACTAACCACCGAACTGCCAGTTAGGTATTTAAATTAGTCATTTTAATTTTAACTTTGTTGGAATTAATGTTTTAATTGATTTTATCTCACAGGGTGTCTGTTGTGGGGGGGGGGGAGGGAAAGGAGTTTGTAAGCCGCTCTGAGACTCCAAGTGAAGGGCAAGGTTTTAAATCCAATCTCTTCTTCTTCTTCTTCTGCTTATCCCTGAAATGTAACTAACCACCGAACTGCCAGTTAGGTATTTAAATTAGTCATTTTAATTTTAACTTTGTTGGAATTAATGTTTTAATTGATTTTATGTTTTATGGAATTGTCTAATTGTCTGATACGATGTAAGCCACTCTGACCGGTTTGTGGGGTAGGGCAGGATATAAACCTCAATAAATAAATAATACACGATAAGAAAATGCTATTAAGAATGAGTTGCCTAAAATGAAGTTATCACATCTCACTGATTATATCCCTAAATCAGGTTTATGAAATAAATTGATTTTAAAAAACAAAGACACCACTGAGAATTTTTTTATACTGCATTGATTTCCTGTATTGCAATTTATTGAGAAATTAGTAACAGCTAAAATATTTAAAATGGAAACCAAAAAGAAAGTAGAATGTTAATTGTGCTAGTTTCTCAGTGGTGACAATTGGTCTGAATACATTTTCACATACTTTAAAGAATTACTGTGAATATGAACAAGAGATCAGATACTACTTTGGGTTGCAGAAGATGCATAGCAGGACTGGAAAACCTAACATCAAATTTGCAATATTAATTATAATTAAAGTCTTGTTGAGATACAGTGATACAAAGGGCTAGGACACTATTTTGGACTTCCTGGTACAAAATTAACGAATATTCAACATGATTATTAATGAGTATTCAGCATTTACTACTGGTAAGTGAGACAAAGGAAGTGTCTAGACTCTAGATTCATTCTGTTTCTAGGCAGAGAAAAGTGAATTATTCCTGTATGCCCTTTCTAATAATACAGGAAGAAATATGTTATACTTACTGTGGTTGTGTCAGTGGCAAGGAGCGTCTAATGATGGAATGAACTTGTCTGTAGACATCCAGTTTGGACATGCATCGGCAAGATGTGTGATTGGCAAAACTAATTGTTACAGGTTTTGGACCATGAGATAGTGGCACAGTTATTTCAAACAACTAAATAAAAGGGGAAAAGAAGAAAACTAAAATCAAGACAATGCTAAAAGCAAAAATGAGAACAATGATTTATCATGCAAATTATTCATCATAAATATTTCCCAAATAGTGATTAGGCTTAAGCCTGAAAAAATAAAATATTTTGTGACTATGCCACCTAAACTGCTCAATAAGCTATCTGTAGGATGGGTAAGTTCCTTACAGTGCCATCTTAAGAATGCTTTCCTGGGAATAAGCCCATTGAATACACCTAAGTATGATTCTGAGTAGACCTGATAGAGGACTGTGAACTCATGCCTCAGAGCCTTTCAGCTGCACCAGACAAGATTTGCTCACTGGCCTGGCTGGCAGTATGAAGCCTTGGGATTGGTAGCATAAATTCTAACAACTTGGCCTTCTACCTGTGCCTAGTACTTTCAGCTTGTTGCACTAAAGGTTCTAGCTTCCAGTTTCTCTAAGCCATTATATAAGGTGATGTACACTGGAACAAAAAACACAACTTCAAGTCTAGGCTAATGGGGTCTGAACTTGCTGAGACTGAGAAGGAAAGAGATCTTGGGGTTGTAGTAGATAGCTCAATAAAGGTGTCAACTCAAAGTACCACAGCAGTGCAAAAGGCAAATTCTATGTGGGGGATTATTAGGAAAGAGACCGAATATAAAAAAGCTAATATTGTAATGTCCCTGTATAGATCTCTGGAATACTGTGTGCAGTTCTTGTCACCATATCTCAAAAGGGACCATATCTCAAAAGGGCTTGATCACATGCAGAATTAGCCGTGCCATAGGCGCAAATGCCAGGTGGATTTTAAGGACACTAACATCTGCCAAGCATCCAGCTCCCGTCGGCAACCCATTTTGCTCTGCTGCAAAAGTGGAAGGTAAAGAGAATAAGAAGCAAAAGGTGGGTGTGGCTGGATGAGCACACTTCTGGTAACACAGGGGTGTGGCCTAATATGCGAATGAGCTGTGCTGTCAGGGATGTGGACTAATATGCTAATAAGTTCCTGCTGTTGGGTATTATGCTAATGAGTTCCTGCTGGGCTTTTTCTACCAAAAAAGCCCTACCAGGTCCCATTTTGTGAGTGGCACTGTACTATAAATACAGCAGGGTGCTAACATAGCATGCTTGCTTTCTAACAACTACAATTAAGTTCTTCCTCTAGGAGGAATAAATGGAAATGGTTCATTTACAAGGAAATACAAAGCCAAGGTGTCAAATCATGTGAGGCTTCAACTGGGGCCAACAGATGTAGCCTAGTCAACTCTAGAGGACTGTGAACTCATGCCTCAGAGCCTTTCAGCTGCACCAGACAAGATTTGCTCACTGGCCTGGCTGGCAGTATGAAGCCTTGGGATTGGTAGCATAAATTCTAACAACTTGGCCTTCTACCTGTGCCTAGTACTTTCAGCTTGTTGCACTAAAGGTTCTAGCTTCCAGTTTCTCTAAGCCATTATATAAGGTGAAGCACACTGGAACAAAAAACACAACTTCAAGTCTAGGCTAATGGGGTCTGAACTTGCTGAGACTGAGAAGGAAAGAGATCTTGGGGTTGTAGTAGATAGCTCAATAAAGGTGTCAACTCAAAGTACCACAGCAGTGCAAAAGGCAAATTCTATGTGGGGGATTATTAGGAAAGAGACTGAATATAAAAAAGCTAATATTGTAATGTCCCTGTATAGATCTCTGGAATACTGTGTGCAGTTCTTGTCACCATATCTCAAAAGGGACATCACAGAGATTGGGAAAGTACAGAAGAAGGCAACCAAGGGCTACTGGTCTAATCCAGCAGGGCTCTTCTAATTTTTTTTGTTCATTTACCTCATGAACCCTGATCTGGAAGGTCTAAATTTCACTACAGCCTTAAGTATAGATTGTGATACAACTGGTAGAAAATATGCCTTTTCCGAGTGACCCCATTACCTGGAATGAAGTTTTTACACTTTTCAACTATATCCCAACTTGTACCCTTGTATACCAACTTCCCAGAGGCTCAATGAGAACCACTGACTACCAAGCAAGTCCCTATCAGCATTTCGCACAGCCCTGGCTACTGTTTCATTGTTACAATGAAGTATTACACTGTTGGGAGAAAGGGTTGGAATGCTGGTAATGGGCTTTTCAGTACACAGAGACTAGTAAAACGTTTGGTCAGGATAAAAGACCTCATGGGGAGAAAACAATACGATGGATTCTCTGCACCATGAACACAGCTATGCTCATGGAAGAACTTTCTCTCATTTCCCATTGCATCCAACTATGCAGGACAGGGGTTAATGGAGCCGCAGGACCAAAAACAGAGGCTTCATTTCTTGACAGAAAGAAAAACATTTTCTTCATTTGAAATTATTTTTTCTTTCGGCACAGCCCCAGGATTTCCTTCCCTCTTGCTTGAGTTCATTCATTCTTACTTATAGCACAAATTCCGGAACTGGAATTTCCATCTGGAAAAAACTGGATTCTGACATTACCAGTGTTGCACCAATAAAAAGTTATGGTAATTCAGAACCCCCAAATCCAAGGGGTATTTTCAGTAGGGGAGAATTTAAAAAGTGGGAACATCTGGATGGCACCCTGAGATTCCCAAAGGAAGAGCTAGTTGTAAGTGTAATAAAAAAGATAAAAGAGTAATGGTGCCTAGTTATATATTATGGATTAGAAAATGATTATATAATCTCTGTATATTGCAAGCTATAAAATAATGTAACTGAAATAGATTGTTTGTCCTGATATGTTACTTAATACAGTCGCTTGCATTCCTTCAACCTTTCTGTGTTGAAAGGGTAACTTATCAGTTTAAAACATGTCCTGACATATAATATAGTCATCGCAAACTAATTTATTTTCCATAAATAGTAATACTACCATTCAGACACTTCCTTATTAAAAAAATCTGAAATAAAACCTACTGCTGCAGGAAATGAATATACACAGAACATGTTCAAAGAAATCTTTAACCTGTCATAACATGAATGGAATTGTGCCAGATGAATCCAACAGGCAATCCAAAAATTGTCCCTAAATCCTAAACTTACTTTATACACTTCTTGACCAATAGCAAATTCCTTTGTATTTGATTATGAAGTAGATTTTAAACACAATACTTCAAAACACATGGATTAGTGGTATATCATCTACTAACAATGCAGACTATTGGATGATCATTAAATTATCTCCACAAAGACTTGCAGAGCAGCTTCTTGTTGTTAAATTAAACCCTTCCACATACAGCCCAGTTTTAACCACTCAGTTCAGTAGGTGTATACCAAGAAGGGCCAGCCCTAGACCAGATAGTATCCCAGGCAAGGAACATCTTCATTTCCTCATATTTTCTGTATCTAATTTTATTGAATTTAGCCTGTTTGATTGAAGATTTCCATCCCTGTAAGATGATACATTTGCATGTTTGGATCTGAATTTATTCATGCCATATTTATATAACTAAAATTGTTCTCTCTAAGCTTACAAAAGCTTTTTATTTTAGAACAGTAACTTGAATTGTAGTAAAGAAAATATAATTTTAAAGTCTGATTAAGATTTAGTTTGCCTAGCCTGACTTGTCTGTTTCTTATAAAATGTTGTGGTGTGATAACAGCCAAAATTAATAACAGTGTGATAACAGTAAAACTGTATTTACTTAAGTGTTAAAGGTTTAAGTATGTGATTAATGCTTGTTGAAATCTATGGGACCAATATATGTTGAACTTGAATTGTGTCCTTAAATAGATTGTGTCCTTAAATAGATTCTCCAGTTTATGCAAGTATTGATAGCCAATCTCTAAATGGAAATACTAAGGATATATTCACTTCACTTCTGCTAGTTTGTTATGCTGCCACCTTCTCTCAATGAAACCAAGATGCACCGGAAAGAAATCAAAATGCTGTCCAGAAAATGAGGGCTTGTATTTAATATACACGCCAGTTGTAGCAGCACTTACTAAATAATTGAAATGAACACAAATGCATGGACAATAGGTCCCATACTTGAAAAAAAGGACTGAATCATTCCACTAACACATATATCTACACTCTGACTGTGAACAAACTGTATGTCTCAAATGTTACATGCTACTTAAAACTGTCTGTTTACTTCTCAAAGAAAATGTTTCACAAATTTCTTTAAATCTATTTTGAGAAGGTGTTTTCCCTGCAAAGTTCAATATAGAAGACAGGGAGGTAAATATTTATGTCTTTACAGTGATCTGAGTGATGCTAAAACCTGAAAATCTCAGGCTGCGATCATACGCACAATTAGACCCTCCATAGGTGCAAATGCTGGACAGATTTAAAGGGCACGATCAGAGAACATCTGGGAAGTGCCCCGCAGCTGTTGGCAACCCGTTCTGCTCCGCTGCAGAAGCGGAGTTAAAAGACACCAGGGAAAATCTGGTAGTTAGCCGGTTACGACGGGCCATGGATGGACTTTCCCATGTCTGATCACTCCAATGTGCTCTCATGGCATCGGGATGGTCTGATCAGGCCATCCTGACTCTGTGCTGTTGTCCCCCCCCTTCTCAGTATGCACATCATCGCAAACTCCATAGGGAGCTCTCAGTGCGGAGATGCTGTTGGGAAAGAGACTGATTTTGCTGTTTATGAATCTATACCTGCTGACACACACACTATATGAACTGTGCACACACATGTATACCCATAGGCATAGAGAAAGCTGCTTGCATTACCTATTGTGAGAGATTTCACATAGAGGACACTTGCCTGCATTTTATGTTAATGAGGTTTGCACACATTCAGCTCAAGAGCCTTATGGGAAAGAGAAGCACATTTTAGCCATTGTTAGCAGAAACAACAACTAAGGAGAAGAAATCCCCCCATTGTTGAGAGACTTGATGTCACACAGTACTTGGATCTGATCTGCATTTGAATTGCCATTTCCTGTTGGAAGGTGCCTTGTTTGCTTGGGAAAACCAAAATCTATCTGCATATCAAGGAAGGTCCAGGAAGCCAAGACTTCACACCTGACCAGATGGCTTTCCATGAGTTAGAGTCTAGAGTTTCAAATATTGGCCAGACCCTTAGGTCAGCCCCCTCATTGCATGCACCAATGAAATGTAGGTATGGGATGGACTAATAGTCAGGTGGGTCTCAGCTTGGCAGGGTTGCCAACAGGCCCAGAGATTTCACTATAAAAAGGGGAGACCATGTGCCAGGTCTTTGCTAGCCGCCTCCCCCCCTCATCGTCCTCTTCATGCTTTTATCCCCTAAAGCCCAGCTTCCTATCAAACAACCCTTTGTCTACTTTAGATCTCTTGGACTGCAGCCAAAGAGGTCCATGCCCTGCTAGCTGGTTCTGGCAGAGTGTGATCTTCCCCTATTTTCCATTGCAACAGACAAGACTTCAGGAAAGATAAGTATGAACGTAAACCTACCTACCTCTTAAGTAAATGGGACTATTGTATGTACTTCTGTAACTCTACAGGAACTTGACTGCTTGTGAGTGTGATTCTGTTTTGTGTGTATGTGATTTTGATATTGTTTAGTCAAAAGACAATTTGTTTTGGAAAACACCAGTCTCGTCTCCATCACTGGGAACTCTGGGGCTGACAGGACCTCCGTAAACTTTGGCAAGAACTCACGTTAAATTTAGTTGCCATCTGCTGTACATAAAGCAGTTTGGCTAACAATGCGATTAATCGATTCTTTGTTTAAGTGTATTGGAAACAAATGGCAAAAAAGGACCCATGGTTGCGTCTGATCATGCAGTGGCAGACTGTGCCCGCGACTTCCAAGGACTGTGTGATCACGCAACTGCGGGTCAAATTCCTCCGGATGAAATAGCCTCACTTCCCCTCCGCTGCACCTGGCCCATGTGACCGCAACCTCAATGTTTGATGAGATTAGGGGTCATACTGGTTCTCTGCACACTTTTGCATGGTCACTGAAGATTCTCAGCCTTGGTTTAATTCTTTATAGTTGCCATCATTACAGAAATAACACTTAAATGTAACAAGTATGACCCATATTTTCATAAAACCAAAGTTGAGTAAAAAAGAATTACTCAGATTCTTTGTAGTTTCTGATTCACTGACTTCTACAAATATTTTGATGATTTATGATTCTAAATATTTGAAGCAGGGTTAGAGAGTGTGTGGCCACTTCTATTGCTGTTTAATCTGATGCTTGAATTCTTCTGGATGGTAACCATATTAAATATTCACTGTGTACTTTTGTGTACTTAAGAGTGCTGAAGTCTAATAAAATATCTCAATAATAGCCAAAGTAGGACAACAAGCTCCCCAGACACATCCTGGCATCCAGCTTGTTTATGGAAATTTTTATACAAAGTATATTTGTAAATCATTAAATATAGCTAAAATAGCAGCAATTCTTTGCCTAATTATAAACTAGACATGTAGTCTTCTATTCTAAACAGGCCAGCCACTGCCACTCAAAGGAAACGTGCAGGAAAGTTCAGGGTCTATGTGCTAGCTATAAACTGTATCTCTCCTATATAGTGAAAACTTGCTTTGAAAAAACTAGGCCTTTTGCTTTTTGGAGTTTTCCAGTACGTTCCTTGGAGTGTTGTATGGGTCTTAGGTCAGAGCTGTCATTTTGTCTTTGGTCATAATAAGATCCCCCAAATTTGAACAATTAATCTGTGGCTATTGACTATTTCATGTAATACCTGCCATTTTGGGGAAAGCCGTTGAACACTGTTGCTCTGCCATGTCAGAAAAAGCTTGAAACTTGCCAGTCCCATTACTTAGACAATGACTGTGACCTCTCAAAACAATCTTCATGTATTTATTGATATCAGTAATTGAAAACCATTATAGTTTTCTGTGGGGATTTAACACAATGTTTCTCAACTTGGGGTTTGGGGATTACTTGGGTACATCTGGGGTACAACAGTCCTATGCAAGGACAAGAATGAGCACCTCTCATATCCATTCAGCTAACACAAAAACAGAACCTTTCACCTTTTCAGCAATGGCGGCAATGAACTCTCTGGAAGGGAAAGGGAATCAGCTTTCCATAGCTTCTGGATCACATCTGAGCACTAATCAGAAAACATGCTGATTATTTCTGGGCTCCAAGAGCTCAGCCATAGGTGAATTGCTGCATGGCATAAACCAGGTATAGTCCTAATATCACAGTCACTTCAGATAATCAAAGTTACCTCAGGTATAAAACTGGTTTTCATTATATTTTTTAATGCAGAAGGTTTCACCATACAGATAGAGAGGTGCTACTCAGCATCCATAGACAGTTACGGCCAAAGGCAGTTTTTAACTGAATACTGGATGTTCAGTTTTTGTGTGATGCTGATCTTTTCCCATTTGTATAAACAGCTCTGAAAATTTCTAGGCCTCTTCAAACTCCAGTTCAGTTTCTTGCTGTCTTCAGTATGAAATCCTTTCCAATCAAGTGGAAAGGCTGATTTGAACTTGAGACAGGGTCTTTTGAACTATATCTCTGTACAGTCAGCTACCCTGTGAAACCCGATCTTGAAGTTCATCTAGACAATACAACGTGCTTTTCAAGTGTAGCATATGTGGTTCTCATTGTATTGTCTTGGAGACGCTAAAGGATAGAGGCCTTGGAGATGCTAAAGGATAGCATATGTGGTTCTCATTGTATTGTCTTGGAGACGCTAAAGGATAGTGGGTATGCACAGTTTGAGATGTATTTTGAAAGGAGGCTGTCCTGCAAATGGTAGGCTCTAGTCAGGAAGAACAAGAGGGCTCAAGGGGATTCATGGACATTTTAAAATCAAAACTAGAGTCCCCAAGCTGCTAGAACCGCTGACCAAGGTTGTGGGATCAGAAGAGGTTTATAAAAAATCTTGCATGTCCTAAACATTGCATCTTCTATACCTGTTCTTCCCCCCCCCTCAACTCCCCTGTCCAACTATACTGTGAACACATATCGTATTTCTTCAATGAATTTTTTCACACTAAATTTTATAATTCAATAATAGAACAACTTATTTCCTTTAGAACATATCAATGTAATACTGAAAATGCATACGAATTGCACACACAGAAAAGGAAACCCACTTTTGAAAGTACAGTAGCTGGTATAACAACCTACCGTTTTGCTGATGTAGCTTGTGCTGATATTCATACACTGCAGGCCCTCGCTATTGCAGCAACCTCCACATCTGTAGATGGACACACATGGAGGTTTAAAGAAGGTGTTTGTTGTTGCTCCAAATTCTTTCCCCACATCTACACATACCTCACGTGGCATGCATTGAGTTTTTCTCCACTCATTATCAATACCTGCCAAGTCACAGGGAAAGCTCATAGGTTACAAAACAGTTTTTAAGAGAGTTCAAAATCAGCCTCCCCTAAAATTAGCTAAAACCTGCTTATCTTACAAATTGGGCCATGACAATACATAAATAGATTAGACAGTGGCCATGACTATCAGAAGTGGGACTTTATCCCCATAATTCTAGCACTTTTTAAAACAGACCAGCTGTAAAAATGGGCAAGAAATATAAAAGGGTGATCCAACCAAACAAAAATGCAAAGAAAGCTGTTATGTAATTAAAACTAGAAAGGAAAAAGAAAAGAATTGTTTGAGTAAAACATAGTAAGAGGAAAGGCTCTCAGAAACTGCTAAGAAGAAATCTCCCCAGAGAAGATTATAGACAGGTAAGTGCCCTGCTCCATGAAGTAAACATAAAGCTCATTCCTCGAGGGGAAAAGCCTAGGGTTTCTGGGCCCACAGCATCCAAACACTGAAATTCATGGGGTGGATCCAAGTATTGTCATACTAAGGCAGTTCTTCTGAATACTAGAGATGTGAAGGCCCGGAAAGAAACCGGGAAAATTAGGAAAAAACCCCATTTCCCCCCGTTTTTTTCCTGAAGCCTTTTTTGTTTTTTTCTGAAAAATTGGAAAAATTGAAAAAAGAAAAGAAAAAAAATTGATTATGGAATGTTTTATTTTAACATGATGAAAAAAATATTTTAAGACAAGGTGTTCAAATATTTTCCAAATCAGACAAGCAAGTCCTAGGTTACAAACTGAACTCTCCAATGCAAGAACAAGATGCATTTCTTCCTTTAGGAGGTGCTATTGTCACGAGAAAAGAAAATGGTTTCAGTTTTGTTTTTGAATGTTTGGACACACTATATTTTTAATATGCTAGTTGTGATAATTTCATGCCAAGTAAAAATATCCATAGTCATATTTTATGTTCCTAAAGTAACAGAATGACTTTCAATCTAGAAAAGACAAAAGAAGTGCTAATGTAGCATTTTTTTCAATTTTTCCGAAAATTTTACATCTCTACTGAATAGCACTACAAATTGTATTATATAGTATCTATTAATGTGTGCAGCTGTTATCATGCGGCTTTAAAGAGATGAACTATTCATTACTGCAATATAAACAAAACACCTAAATCTAAAATGTAGTTAAGCTGCTAATTCTTGATTATTTCCTCTCATCTCCAATTTACTTCTTCATTCATTACCCTCAAATGTGTGAGCTAGCTGGTGCTCTTAGATTCCAACCTGCTACCCTGAGACTCAGGTTTTGACAGGCCAAAGTCTGTCACCTTAGAAGGGCACGAGTGCTATCTCCAAGGCTTCAACTTTAGAAACTTCACAAATGATGTTCTGCCTAAATATAAATGTCTGTCCTCCATACCATCAAGAAGAGCAATGTCAGAATAAAACTAATTTGGGATCCAAGCACATTAAAATATCCCTTGTTTGGAACTTTGGAAAAGTTGTTTGGAACTTTGGAAAAGTATTCCAAAAGGAATAGGATGCTACGTTCTGCCCCTAGAACAAGAACAGGACCCACAACTCAATTGCTTTATCTAGAGGCTGCAATAGGAGCTGGAACTGTCAATTTGTGTATATCAAGTGACTCCTAGGCATCAACTGCTTTGTGGTATCAGCTCTCTTCCTGTCTTCCTAAGTAATGCACAGCACAGAAAACAATCAAGCCATCAAGAAAAGAATCAAGGACAGTTAAACTGAAGCAAAACATAATACAAGAAAGATTATCCATCTAGAATATCCTGGCTCTTGTGATGGACAAATAATAACTACCAAAGACAAACAGCCCAATGACACAAACATAACTGAAATGCAATTGAGAATGTGGTGCCCACGAAAGCCCAACCCCATCCAGTGCTAACTAGATACCACATGTGTAAAAGTGTTTGAGTGTAAAAGTGGAAAGCTCTAGAGATAGGAATCTCATAGACCTTGAAGTACCCTTCATGTGCTGGCATGTTGTTGGGAAAAGGGATTTCCTGAGTAGAACTCTGATTCTAGGAACATGGGCGTTGTAACAGCTGTTAACAGTGATAGTTTCCTGAGAAGCACTACAAGAAACTAAACCTGTCTAAAACCTTGATTTGCTGCACAAGTGTTCAGCTTTATCAAATTTTTAAAAAGATATTTCTTGTCATTACACAGGTTCTGCAAATACTAAATCAAGAGATAATATAGTGTGTCTTAGCAGTTTTTATTTTCATTGCATAAATATTAAAACATATTTGACAGAACTGATATCTTCTAGCATTTTGTTTTACAGCATTTGGAAGACATCAGATTTCCGACACTTACTTTTCAAGATATCTGCATTATAATGTGCTGCAGCAAATTTTATTGGATTTGAATCTTCTGATCTTGCAATGAAGCTGGATTGTTCTCTACTATGTTGCCAGCTCCCTTTTCTCAACTGACATTTGAACATTTTCCAGTATTCTGGATAAAGTACTGTCATGAGTTCATCCACACTGGATACAGATCGCAACTGTTCTTCCAGCTCTTTGCTTGCATAAGCCTGCTAAGAAAATATGCAAAAATAATTACTTTTCTATCACACAAAGGTCAATAAAATATTAATCTCATGAATTTTTATATTTAAGCCCTCCTCTCCAAAAAACATATTGTCTTCAGATTAAAGTGATATGAGGGACCGCCTTTCCCCGTATGTTCCCCCAAGAGCACTACGGTCAGGGCCCCAAAACCTATTAGTCATCCCGGGCCCCAAGGATGTCAAACTAGCCGCTACTGGGTCCAGGGCTTTTTCGGTGGTGGCTCCTACCTGGTGGAACGAGCTCCCAGGGGAGATCCGGGCCCTGCGGGATCTTGTGCAATTCTGCAGGGCCTGCAAGACGGAGCTCTTCCGCCAGGCTTTTGAGTAGGAGCCATTGCCCCTACTATACTACCACCGCCCTGAGGTCCTGAGGAAACATCCTAATATGGAAGAAGCCTTCGGCCGTCTTCTAGGAACTTCGGACATACGACCCGCCATCCCTAGATCATGGAAGCCACTGAGCACTTTGTTCAACTAGGATTTTTAAGATGTATTATATGTTTTTAAATTATTATGTATATTATTGTTTTATTATGGCAAGGTTGTCTTGCCCCTGTAAGCCGCTCTGAGCCCACTGGGGGGGGGCGGGGTATAAATACGAAAATAAATAAATAAATATATTTACATTCTTGAATTGTGTTTGTTGGCTTTGACATAAATGCTTGATTATGGCAACTGTACTGTATTAATAACCCTGAAAGACTGTCAGCTGGGTCACTGACATCTAAGCATTAACACCTTTTTTAGTTTTAGGCATAAAATTAATAAGGAACAAATACGCAGTAATCTTCCAGTGTGTCTTAGGCTGCAATCATGTGTGCACTTGCTTTGAAACAAACTTCACTGAACTCAACAAGTCTGGCAGAATTCAGCGTCGTCGTTACAAGTTAGGTCAGTCTGTGAGGCTTAAATTGCTTTTCAGTCTCTAGGGTGCTGTTTCTGTGACTTTGATGTGACTTTAGGGGTGCGTTCAGATGGGGCGTTTCTGCCGGCATAAACTGTACTGGTTGGAACCGGTGCAGTTTATGCCGGCAGAAACGCGATCACACCTCCCTCACAGCGGAAGCCATCGCAATACGCCCGTCCACACTCTTCTTCGTTCTTTTTTTTGCACATGCACATAGGCAGCCATCCATAGAATGGCGATCTTCGCGCATGCGCAAAAACCCTGTCGTACATTTAAACTTTAAAGGTAAGGACTTACCTTTAAAGTTTAAAGAGCACAGTAGCCTCCCAGAGGTCCCGGACACCTCCGAAACACTACAGTAAAGCCCTTTTCTTTTTTTGTTATACAAACGGCAGGGCAAAGCTTCGCCCAAGTGCATATCGCCGTCCTTAAAAAAAAATGGCGGGCGAAAATCAGAAGCCTGAGGCTTTCGAACGAAAGTAGCTGTGCAACGGTAGAGAGCGATCAGACGGCGAGGTACAGCGTTTACAACCATTGCACTCAGGATACCACCATTTGGGGACCTAGTGGCAGAGTGCAACGGTGTAAAGGGCTTTACATCGGTTAGGGACAGGAGGCAGATGTTCGCCGTCTAAATGCCGGTGAGTACGATTGCAACCGGCACCTATACCGATGTAAAGCCCCCGTCTGAACGCACCCTATGTGACATGGAACAGAGGGAAATTCAACCAAGGAGGTCAGGACAGAACGAGGTTATCCCATTTTCCCAACAACCTTGTGAGGAAGATTATCAATTATCTATATTTGACCCTGCACTTAAAAACAGTTCTTCCTGTCCACTCCACTCTTTATTATGGAAGACATCCCACAGCATAGTTAACACCAGTATTCACAGACATCACAAATTTCTCTCATTCTTGGTTAAGAACATAAGAATTCATGGACATAGCTATGGGAGAGAGCCAAGCATATGCTCTAGCCTGTTTCTTTAGTACTGCACTACTGCTTGCTCCCTAGCTCACTGGACACCAATACTGCAATCCTAAACAAAGATACACCCTCTAGACTTCCAGTTTATGGTGACACGCTGGCGGACACATCTCCTGGACCTCCCGGGGATGTGATCTGCGCACCAGCAGATAGGAGGGGGGGCGACGGGTGGCAACCCCCCCGGAGCCTTGGCAAGAGGCTCCTAGCCA